CTTAGCTGAGGCATAAACTAGCGCGGGCTGCTGCAGATCATGGCAGTATCGTGGAAACTCTCGATTTTTCTCTGAGAACCACAACATCGTGTGTCTTCGGCTCGCCGCGCGTTGTGTTGCACAGGAGCCTGTCGCGGTTTCCCTATTCCAATTGTCCACAGGCGGCCACAGGCCTCTCGAGCCGCCAGGGGACTCCTTATCTTATCTGAGACGCCACACCACCGATTCACCTGGGCGCGCTAGACCAAGACAGATGGCTGAAACGCCCAGACCCCAGACAGCAGGTGGGCACGGGGATTAGACGAGTGTTTCGAGCTTTTGGGCGAAGTCGACGGTCGTCTGTGGTGTCTCTGGTGGTGCCGTCGCTGCCGACTGCCGCCTTTCTCTTTCCTTCGATGGCGTGGATAGCCACCAGGTTCGACCACCCTTGAGCCGCTCAGCCCTCACCATGGCCACTGCGCTTGCGCATGAAGTCGTTACGTGATCGAAGGCCCGTGGAACGCTGCCCGTCAGCAGCGTCTCCCTCGCCTACACTAGCCTCGACTATGCCATGCCATCGTGTCCACCTGCCAAACATGACAACCTCAAACACTTAGTGGCCTCGCGAGCAAGCCTCTGGCCTAAGCCCTCAATGCCACCGCTGCGACCCCTATGTGTCTCATAGTCCGCCAGGTTTCGGGGTGCCAAGGATACCGTTCTCCTTGTCCAGTCGCGTCCACATGCCCCAGGGGCTTATTCTTGCTTGGTCCTGATTTTCTGCTGCCCTCAAATCCCCTATGGCGATCAAGGCTTGTCTTGCGTCGTGATCCCAGGCAAGTGGTGCCTCTGCCCAGCCCAGAGCAGCAGATCTCTCTCCTAGTTTCTTTCACCGTCCTATCTTTCTCTCTTGCAGCTATTCTTCTCTCTGCGCACATTGGTTGCATTTTGCACACGCACCTGGAGTGCTCTCACTTCGTGTTCACTGGTGAACTTGTGTTCTTTTATTGCTCTCGGCCTTTTTTCTTCCCACAATGCCCAAGTCCAAGACATACCGTCCCGTCCCTGTCGACGAGGAGGGAAGTCTCGAATCCTACCAAGACAAGGCGCCTTCTGGATGGCTGCACCCAGAGCTCGACAGAGAAGCACCACAGACAACATCCCCCAGACTGAAGAGCCACTGGGCATGGCTTGCCCATGCCGTCCTGCTGTCCGCCTCTGTGACCTTCTTCGCGCTATCACTGTGCATGAAAAACACAGCCAGCTCTTCACTATCCGACTTCCTCCCACAAATCGCAACATATTGTAAGCGTCATGACCCCATCACCCTACGAACACATCGCTAACAGCCCACCAGCCCCCCTCTTCCCAGCCGTCGAGTATGCCCCGCAAAAATTCAAGCTCGCCCCCATCGTCAAGGACTCGCCCTACGCGGGCTACGGCCCCTCGGTAGACAAGGCCTGGGACTACATCGCCAACGACAGTAAGCCCTCCCCCCCCCTCTCTAAACCAAGGGGTACAACCCCGCTAACAAGCCGTATAAAAAAGTCGGCGACATTATGATCACCGAGCAAGAGCGCCAGAAGCTCGGCCTGTCGCCCGACTCCCTCAAGATCCAGGACCCCCGCACGGGTGAGTGGGGGTACCGCGCTGGCGTCGAGGTGTTCCACCAGCTGCACTGCCTCAACCTGCTGCGCCAGGCCGTCTACCGGGACTACTACGGGCGCAAGGAGGTGGGAGGGGATGTGGGGGATGCGGATGGGGTTGAGGATTTGATGGGGCACGTCGGTGAGTTCAATGGGAGAGGGTGTGGTTTCAGGGGCTGGTTGCTAAAAATTTTGGGGGGCGGCGTGTAGACCACTGCATTGAGGCTATCCGACAGAACCTCATGTGCCAGAGCGACGTGAGCGTTTTCACGTTCAAGACATTCCCGGAGCTCGCGGACGAGGGCATCGAGGGCGAGTGGCCCGACTTTGAGATTAATCACATGTGCAGGAACTTTGAGGCGGTGAGGAAGTGGAACAACGACCATGTTGCGGCGTGGGATCATGATGTTTGATCCGGGTTGGGCTGGGGAGAGGTTGTATATATTGCCGGGCCGTGTATTGTGTCTGACATGCCGCCGGGTTGCGGGTTGTGTATATTGTTTTTGTTTGGTGAATTTACAACGCATGGGGAGCCCACATGAGTCTTCTACGAGAAGGATACCATGATGTTTGATACAATGGAAGACGTTACATGAAGTCCGTAGAGGTGTTGGTAGGTGACCCTCGGGGTCTGTCCTTGGTCACCCGACCTCCGGGATATGCGTGTGGCACCTGCGGTGGCTGCTCTTTTCTTCAAGCTCACGCTCAAGCTTTGGCTCGGTCGCTAATAACTTAAATGGGGGGGGACCCAAAAGTGCAGCTGCCGGCTGCCCCTTTTAAACGACTTGCAAACAGCAAATTGCCTCCCATCCCACCTTCGAGAACCAAGCAACCTACGCACCCACGCAGCAATTTGAGGTCACCTGCCAGCACCCAAGCATTCTTCTCGTCCCAATCATGCCTCCCCATCATGCTAGCGCCAGTAATTTGCTGGGGGAGTATTCCGATTTTTTAAATGGCGATCCAAGCCAAAGTAATCAGATTATTCTCGAGGCGACGCTGAACTTCATCAAGCGAGAGCAGCTAGAGGTGGACAAAAACACACTCCGTGAATTCCTCAACAGTAAACCACCGAGGGAGGGGGCTAAGAGTATGCCGTCGCTGGACGAGCTCACGGAACGGCTCGAGCTCATTGTGAGCATTGAGCATAAGATCCGGGCCATTGAGGAAAATTTCGAACTAGATGACCGTAGTTTTGCCGCTTTATCTGTTGCTCCCTCGGCATCCCTGCGGCCAGCAGAAGAAATGACCGGGCTCATCGAAACTGCGGTGCTACAGAACTTGACCTCAATGCTGTTCCTAGCTTTGTTCGCCTATGTATGTTTAGGTATCCCATCATCTCCCAAGCCTGCCTATAATACAGCCAAATCTACGGCCATGTCCCGAAAACGGTCCAAGGGGGGAAGCGATACTAATTATATCCTGGGAACGGTCGATGCAACTGGTAAACAGAACCTATACAAGGAGGAAGTTTCACTTCGGCGGCAGCCTGATGGTGGACGACGTGTGATTAGGGTGCTGCCGATACGGACGCCTGCCATATTACCCCGCACGCTACATGTGCATGGCAAGAAGCACTAACGCGGCTTGTAGTTGTGAGGCTCAAGTCTCTTAGTGTACCTTAAGAACGAAGAAGGCAAGATAGGCGAGGCGGCTTGGAGCGGTTTTCCTTGAGTCAGGTGCGGAATCGGGATTGTGGTATCATCGATCGGGGGCCCGCTTGCGACCCCGGTCAGGATTTCTTTCAGGAGGAATAAGAAGAAGGATCTCTTTGTTATAGCTTAGACTAGGTAGCTAGGTAGAACTCTAGCCGACTTTTAAGAGCGGTCACGTGCGATTGCCCCTTCGAAGCAAAACTCTACACGGTAAATTCAACCAATCAGTTAGTGTACCTGCTGACCTTCTTCTCAACAACCTTCTTCCTAATACCCCACAAAACAATCGCCAGTGCGCCTCCAACCCCTTCTTCTCGCCGGAAACTTTTTGGGTTCTCACCTTGGCAACTAATTTCTCCTCATTCTTCCTCGCTCGCGGCGAAACGTCGACCATGGCCACAGATTGGAATGGGCTGCTAGCCCATTTCCCCACAAAGACACCACACCGCACCAAACACACTGTAGTTGCTCGCCGGCATTCCAGAATCGATAGATGCTGTCGGGTGGAAGAAAATTGAGTCAAGACATTGTGTTGTACGTGAGCTCGGGTGCTTCAACGCTGTGGGGGACTCAGCGTGCTCGGTGTTTCGGTAAAAGGGAGGGGGATGGGATTAAATAGAGATCTCATTAAATAAGGCGGAAGACGTTTGGGTTGCCTATTGGGCGAGACGTAATATTCATGCGCCGAAGCCTGGCCATCGTCCCGTCACACAGCTTGCGCTTCATGCCGGCGCCGGAGGCCTTCACTGCAAGACGGCGGCACGCCAAGCCAACTACGCAATGACAAGCAAAAGGTAAAGGAGAAAGCTAGTGGTGCGAAGGAAAAGATCAGTGCCAAGACTGATAAGGAGGCACTCACCACACATAGCCCCAAGCCCTCCAAGCTAAGCCTTAGGGGTAGCTATCGCAAACTCAAGGAGGTGCCTGACAAGGTTAAGCGGTGCCCAGTTATATCACTGTTTCGTAGACCGAAGGAACCGAGCGTGGAAAGAGGAGACTGGGGGTTCTAAGCAGGATCAATCAATAATTAAACACGGTCGGTCCTATAGTGTAGTTGGTTAGAAGGCCAATGGAGAGGCCAGGGCTAGAAGAAGGAAACACAAAGACTTTGAAGAGAGGAGGAAGAACAGAGGGCCTGTTCACAACCACGAATTCTTTCGCAATGAGAAAGCAGCAGAAACATAGCTAGGGAATGAATGATAATTTGAAGGGGAGCAAGAAGCTCGAAAGATGCGATGGGAATGGTAGTGGTGGAAGCTGGAGAGGAAGGTACGGAGCCGAGCCGGAGCAGGACCACCAGGAAATGTGGAGGAGAAAGAGGGCAGGGATGAGGGCCATGGGAAAAGCGGAGAAACGGGGAGACCCGTTGGCTCAGATTTGAGGGAAACGGTCTTTTGGCGATGCTGAGGATGGAAGACAAAAGGGTTTAGAGAGGCTGTTGGACTTGAACCTGTTGGATCCAATTTGAATCGACGTGTGGGCGGCAAGATCTGCCGCGGCTTCTTGGTGCGCCTCGAGGATAAATGGGCATAGCATTGACTCCTAGAGTCTGGCCCCCGTATGCACCCCCTAAACCCACGGCTGTCATCGCCTATCATCAAAGTACCCTAGGTAGATCGATTTGTATTGAAAACAGATACAGAGTTGCAATGTTGAATGGGTGGCTGGCTGGGCCTACTTGGTGGAAATTTCGAAAATTCCGACGCAACAATCAAATGCAGCAGGTTGTATAGTGTAGTTGGTTATCACATGGGATTCTGAGGCATTCCTGGAGCTTCCCATGACCTCGGTTCGAGTCCGAGTACGACCTTTTTTGGTTCTCGGTGTTCCTCATTTTTGCGCGGGTAAGATAGTAACTTATGATTTATTTTGCTCTTTCCTACATGATTTATTTTGCTCTTTCCTACAAGGTTTTGCCGTTTAGACAGTTATACCAAAATGCTTCAAATTTACGATGTTTTCATTTGTTCACACATCCCCCCCTCCTGCTTTTTGCCATTTGGAACCTTAACAGCTCCATCGGAGCGGTTACCTGAAATTGTGAGCATTATTGCCTCAGTGCCATAATGCCTCAGTGCCCATCAGAAAAGGCAAAAATATTTGTGCTGGGGCGAGGACATATTGAGAAGTACAGCTCAAATATTCATTTTTTCTCTTCACCAAATCTCCTCCTCTGTGCGCTAAGCTTTCGACTGGTTTAAGTTGTTTCTCGAGCGTTATGGATGGAATCTAGTGTCTAGACATGTGCGATGTATGAATCAAGGACTAGCCAAAACTCAAAAACACATCCGGAACTTTGATAACACCTTCTCAACAACTAAACAGACCCCCGATAAGAGGTACTAGTTGGAAGCAGAATGGCCGAAGGCCTTGATAGACAACCAGGACAGCTATTCTGCAGTGTTGATATCCACAATGAAGCACTTGGCTCAGGGACTTAATCCAAACTTCCAACAAGCTGTTTCCATGTCATGGCATAGCGATGTGGTGTCCTACCCGGTGCCGCAGGCAGCATTCGCTTTGGCATGCACACTCTCCGAAACCTCACCGCCCCCTTTAACCTCCACAACCGAATCCAAGAACCGCGAAACCCAAACCAACTCCCCACCCACATCCCCAAGCCATCCCTCCCACCCCCCAGCGTCCCCGCCACCCGAGACGCGAGCCACCCCATACAGAGCCGAGAGTGGCGCCCCAACACAACAAGCAGCAAACAAAAACAGCCCGTTTAGCTCAGTGGTAGAACGCATCACTAGTATCTCGAATGCTCAATGATGAGGTCCTGAATTCGACTCACTGGGAGTGGGCGCATTCAGCGACCCAACCATTCTTATTGCCTCCCTCTCGAATAGTGGCTTGAATGGACCCAATACCAACACGATCCTACAAGAAGTTGGCATCACACTGAGTGGTACTGATCGACCACAAGGAACACTTTGGCGCCAGATGGATTTGCCCTGGTCCCACCATTCGAGACTTAGTACCTGTATCCGCGCATCCAGTCGATTACATGGTCAGGACATGGCTTCACTGGCTGCACTGATCACATCTCCCTCACGTGTTCAAATGTAACTTTGAGATATTACTTCAGTTTATTACTACCAAATTCTGGCTCTCTCTTCATCATCTACCCCATCAACATCGCGCCGGCATGCTGCGAGGCACGAGGAGCGGGGACAGGTGAACCCCAACCTGACCCAGAGCACCTACCCAGCCCCACTGCAAACGAGTGAATGGGCGGGTAGACAGCGGGAACATCAACACGTGAGGAGCTCATTATGACTGTCCTGCCAGCTATATCCCTCAGGCACCAGGCTGCAAGAGATGTGGCGGCGCGAGCCTTGAGTTGTTCCTCCTCACGCACCTCCGGCTAGGCAAGTACCTATTATGCAGGTATAAAAGCGCTGCTATATACAGACCGGCACAGCGAGGCAAAACCAGCAAAGAAATCGGGTTGTCACCGCTACCTCCGTGTCGATTCTCAAACTCATTGGGTATCATCTGCCGCCCGACGGATGCTTCAACGCATATCCTCAACACGTCTTGGTTTTTCATCGTCCATCATCATATCGTAACCCTGCTCGTTGGGCGGGTTATGTATGCCGGGGATGCCCGTCTGGCCAGGCAGTTGCGGCACCGGAGGAGCGGTCGACGTCTCCTCGCGCCTTTGTGCACGCTTGATCCGGCCAGTCTGCTGGTCGACCCATGAGTTCACTGTTCGGAATCGAGGCGGCATGTCTTCGCTGGTCTGCGTATATATCGTGTCCCTTTTACTGGGGTCCTGAGACATCCAAGAAAAACGGGTACTGTAACGACTGGATGCCGTGCGGGGATATGCTGGTGCGGTCGGTGGGGGCGCGACGATGATGTCACCATCGCCAAAGCCCGACGAGAGCGATGATATCTCGCTTGCTCGGTTCACTTGTCGGCGTTGCGGGTCATGGGCCCGAGATGGTGTTCGAGCAAACTCGGATTGGTTATAGTAAACCGGCCCCATTTTGGAGCGCAGCGTGCTGGTCGGGTCAGTGCTGATCGTACCAAACTGGGCTGCACTAGTGGAGCTGAATGAGTCCTGTGGGGAATGAGATATAAGACTCGGCGGGATTGGAGGCGCGTTGTCTGTTATCACGCTCAAGGAAATAGGATGCGAGCTTAAAGGCCTCGGACTCGAGGGCGGAAGAGTAGGGGCCTCTGCAGCGACTAGTGACCGAATGCGTGACAGCTGCGGTTTTTTCTGCGACGCCTCCTGCGGCGGTTGCTGTTTCTGTCGTTCTTGCTGGTCTGGATGATAGGGATAGGCCTTCTCGTGGCCGTAGAAACCGCCTAGGGGCAAGGATTTTGGACCTTTGGCTTTCTCATGGTAGCTTGGCGGAGGGGTTTTGCTACTTTTGCTGCTTTTAACACTCTTGCCTGCAGGTGTGTCGTCCAAGTTCTCCCACCCTGTTTGCCTGAAGAAAGGAATGCTGGCAACCAGGCGCTGTGGAAGCATCTTTCGCGGAATCATCTTCCGGAAAGCATCGGTCCTCGTACCGCCGCTCTTCTTTGACTTGTTCATTGCCCGCCATACATACCAGCCTACGCAGCCAAGCATGGCAAAAACCGCTGGACAGGTTGTTAGCTCCAGGGTAGCAAACCAGCAGTAGGGGGGTCCTTACCTATCGAGCCGACAGAAATCATTACACGCTCAGCCATTGGGTCCATTCCTTGGGGTGCTTCGACTGTGCTATTTTGCCCGGCGCTCGTATTGATGTCCTGGCCAGGGCTGGGGCTGGGAACCGGAATGGGACTAGGGATAGAGCTGGGGCTCCCCGTGGTGTTTGAAAGTGCGAATGGAGCCGGCTCTCGACCTGGTTCAGTCGCCGGGGCCGGGGTAGGTAATAGTGAATCAGGTGTTGGGGCGGTAGGAACCGTGTTCAGGGCGTCAGCACTTGAAGAAGAGCCTGGAGCAAGCGCCGTAGTCTCCGTTGTCGTCATGGGAATAAATGCGGTGACAGTAGCCTTTGAAACAAGTTAGTAATTGGTATCCTAGACTCGTAACCAGGCTGTTCTTACTCCATCTGACGGTGTGATAGTCATAGTCGATACCATGACAATCGTTGTTGGCTCAGGCGGAGGTGGAGGAGGGGCGGCTGTCTCGACTGGCGCCGCCACAGTGTCTGGGGACGCTGCAGGCGGCGGCGGAGGAGGTGATGGCGGCAGTGGCGTAGCTTCCGGAGGCGGAGGCGCTTCGGTAGAAGGAGCGGGAGCGGGAGCGGGAGCTGGAGGTGGGGCAACCGTGCTTGGTTTGTCGTCGTCGTTCTTTTTCCCTCCGCCTCCACCTCCACCTCCCCTCGACTTGCCGCCGCCGCCTTTATCGTCCTCGTCGTCGTCATCTTCGTCGTCGTCATCGTCACCGCCATTGCCCTTCCTCCTCCTCCCGCCCTTCCCTTTTCCACCTCCGGTGTCTTTATCATTGTCGTCGCCGCCACCACCTCCGCCACCACCTCCTCCTCCTCCACCACCTCCGCCGCCACCTCCTTTCCCGTTACCCTTGCCTCTGAACTTGCCGCGGCCTGAGCTGTCGTCATCGTCGTCGTCGTCGCCTTTCTGTCTGGCGCGAAGACCACGAAGATGGTTTCTGCGCAATATTTGGAGCTCTCCATCCAACCATCTTCGCACTTCTCTCCTTTTCTGATTTAGTGGCGCCATTCCCTTCCCCCCCGGCATCCTATGCTGATCCGATACGTCGTCGCCAGGCTGCAGTTCGGTTCGGGGCACCGGATGTTACGCTGTCTTTGGTGGCATGTAATAGTCCCTATCGAGCTGGTGCTGGAATACGGTGAAGAAGCACAAATGAGAGACGTGTGATGAAAATGGCACTTTGGAGATATACTTGAGGTTGAATCGTGTAAACCACGGGGCCAGCCAAAAAAAAATATACAATGCGCGAATGAAAAAGATTGGAAGGCCCGCCTCGGGGGAAGAAGAGAACAAAGAAGGAATGTAGTGAGGATGACTGGGGAAAAAAGGGAAGCTGCAGAGAGGGTGCTTGGGACGATCAACGAGGTGCCGAGACTTCGAGCATGATGGATCGGGCCCCAAGCTGGCTCCCGCGACAGGGGGTTACTGATGAGCACCAAGAAGGAGTGAAAGCGGAATGGGCATAGACCGACGTGGGGATTTTGCCGGCGCTCCCCCAGACGGAGAAGACCAAGGGCTGAAGATGTCTCAGGGATCTTGGTTACGCATCAGGCGTTCTGGTGGGTGCCATGACCTCGGGAGATGGGATCAAGGGAGGAACAAGCAGGCTGGGCTCGCCGCAAGGACTCTGGGCCGAGACCGCCCGCCATGGATCGTATTGGGACCATAGCTGTGAGCAGACAAGGTCACAGCCGCCGCACTACCAGCGTGCTGTATGCTTCGGTAGGCATTTGTGGTAGACCGTGGGAAAGGTGAGGCGCCTCATCGGCGCACAACAGGCCAGGATGTACAGAATGCCCAGCAAGACCTGGGGAATGCAGGCGATTGCCAGGCAAGGGGACCGATCAGGTTCGAGGGGTAGGACGGCTTCGTGCCTATTCACCCTGGTGCCACCGATCTGTGAATCGTGTAGCAGCAGGCTGCCGGGTGCGTAGGTGCGAGCTTGCATCAGGGCTTGCATTGACAGACGAAGTGGGAGGGCGAAGCAGTCGAGCTGGTTGCGACAGCGAACGACAGGGCGACAGGGGTCCGACGTCTCAGCTAGGGCGAGGCGGCGTTTCAGTGCACCAAGAGACAGGGGCTTGAACAGCAACACTCGGACTCCGCCATTTGCGAGTTTCAAGCGACCTC